GATTACTTAAAAAATAAAAAACCTTAAAAAAAATTTTTTTAGAAACAGGAGTACACCTAACTTTAAAATTTCCATTGCAAAAAGTCCAGAATAATAGGATCCAGACTGTGATCATGAAGTAAGAAGCAGCTAAAATTGCATGGAAGTGAAAGACACCATAAATCCGCATATAAAAAGGTCCTGAATGAACTATTATAGCTATGAGTTTCAAAAAGTCAGGGGAATTCCAAGTATACAAGCTTTTGTTGGAGCATCTACTATGAATGTCAAGGGCAGATGGCAAAGGCAACTGCAACCCACTGCAACCCATCTTGTTACCAATCATCTAACAGATGGCTGTTAGAACTGCAGAGAAATAAACAAACAAACAAACAAACAAACTGCAGAGAGCTGTGTAGACAGAGGGCAGGAAATTCAAAGAAGGGTGAAGGAGCAATGATCTCCATCCACATCAAGGAGGCCCTATGTGTCACAAAATCAGTCACTCTTTGTTCTTGTTTTAGTTCACCTTTCCACAGCAAACTACACTGCTACTACTAAACCACATCTTCCTTCTTGAAATCCTCTCCTCTACTGGCTTCCATGACATGTCATTTTCTTAGTTTTCTTCTACCTCTCTCTTGGCAGTATTACTAGTTTTTACTCTGTTAGGCTGTCTTCTCCTTTAACTCCAACCTCTCTCTGTGGGGAATGTCTTTACATTTCCAATTTCATGATTTAAAAATATCTATCCAGCCCAGTCTGGTCCAAGTCTCAATGTCTATGGAACATCTTAAGTCAAGTATCTCAGAATCTCCTTATATTCAACAATGTCTAAAATCAATACCTCCAAACCCTCTTTCAGGATTCAGCTTTCAGAGGTACTCGTATCAGGAACTTGGAAGACTCCTCAAAACCTCTTTCCTCCTCAACCTCATTATCATTTAATGCCAAATAGTGCCCATTTATCTCCCAAATGTTCTATAGCCACCTAGTTCTTTCTGTCCACACCACCACCATCTTTTAAAAACTTCTATCATCTCTTACCTATACTCAAGTTCCTAGAACATGCCAATCCATCTGACACCACACTATGCTCTCCTTCATCTTTTCCTAGTTATATCTGAACTCAGCTCAACCTTCCTATGTGAAGGAACACTGCACTCCTCCAGACTACATGAGATCCTTCTCTTATATGCTGAGGAGGAGGGAAGGATTGTGAGAGAGTGAAACAGCTAGACTTGTAGAACAGAGTCGTTGAAGGTGGGGATCATTAATAGCAGTCTAATTTTCCCAGAGATCAGGATTCAATTTATACAGCCACTACAGAGAAGAGAACCAAAGCTGGCAAATCAGAAACTCGGACCTTTCCTATTGCCTTAAGTGAACTCAAGACTTGAGATTGAACAACTAAACTAAGTTTGCTTAATTTCTTAGCTGCTTTATAATCTTTGCTGACTCGCAACCATGGTCATCCTCCCCAAAAGAACTAAACATTCATAAGAAGGGCCTGGCAGCTGAGCTGCACTAACTTCCCACTGATCAAAGTCAAAACTAGGTAGCAAGGAGAATAGCGTAGTGTTTTTAGCAGTTAGGTCACTTCCATCCCATTTAATAGAACACTGTCAGCATCCACTCTTCGAAAACTTAAGTGTCAGACAGGAAATGGGAGTTAATTCTTCTTGTTTATTATTCCTCTGTGTAAAATAATAAAAAGATACAACCAATTGACAAAAACAAAAAAGCAAAGCAAAAAACCATATAGAGAGTTGTGAGGAAAATAAACTATCTATAAAGAAGTCAGTTAAAGGGAGCGAGGTGCTTCAATTAGGTCTTGCTTCAGAATTCTTCATTAAGTCAAGCCATATCGTGGTCCTGACTATTCTGCTAAGTTTGACCATGCAATTGGCTAAACTCCCTTCAAGTCGAAATTCAAGTCTTCCTACCCTGCACCCTTTAACAGAAATCCAATCACCAAATATTTATTCTCTACACCCTAAATTCCAGGCGCAGTGCAAAGTGCAGCAGAACCAAAGATGTCCAAGCCTAGGGTTAACTATGATACAATGCAACAGATGCTAAAGTTGTATTCAAAAGCTACATAGTCACAAATGAGGTAGTAAATAGTATCTTAGGGTAGGGTGGTCCGTGGATTGGTAGCCAATCCACACACAATCTACACACTGATGCCAGAGTATAAAAATCAACTATGTTACTAAGTAAAATATTTAGATCAGCTACCATCTTTTTTTTTAATTTTTATTTATTTATGATAGTCACACACACAGAGAGAGAGAGAGAGAGAGAGAGAGAGAGAGAGAGAGAGAGAGAGAGGCAGAGACACAGGCAGAGGGAGAAGCAGGCTCCATGCACCGGGAGCCCAAAGTGGGATTCAATCCCGGGTCTCCAGGATCCCGCCCTGGGCCAAAGGCAGGCGCTAAACCGCTGCGCCACCCAGGGATCCCTACCATCTTTTTCCTAGCAAGATTTTTCTCTCAATAAAAAAAGTAATGTTTAAATTTACATTCTGGTACAAGTTCCTTATCTTATTACTGACAAGCACTCTGGCAGCACCAAGATAAAGAAAATAAAGATTAAGGAGAGAGTGACAAATCAGGTGACATTTAAGACTAGTATTTCAAGATAGCAGCAGTCTGCCACGGAAATACAGAGAAAAGGCATTCTAGTATACCCTATTCCTGATGGCCTGAACTCCTTCATTTGTTAGCCAAAGATGTGACTGAAACTCTATTAAATCAACCGAGTCCATGCTGACTGGCTAGACTCGACTTGCTTAAAAATTAAACTCTTCTGCGGGTCCTTTCACCCTCATCCATCTCTGCACACAGTATTCATAACTGATACTTATATATACGTCAACTAAATTCTGTTTGTTCTCAGTTGGTTCTAAATCTTTATGTTTATGCTTGCCTCCCTCAGAATTACCTCTACAACTTTAAAGGGCAGTAACTAACGTTTTCATCTAATGGTATAACACCTGCCACAACACTACATATATAAGTGGATTTAAACTAAAAACGTAAGATACCATGGATGGACCTAGAGGGAATTATGGTAAGTAGAGTAAGTCGGAAAGAGAAAGACAAAAACCATATGATCTCACATATGTGGAATCTGAAAAATAAAACAAGCTAAATAATAAACAAACAAAAAGCAGAGTAAAACCAATAGATACAGAGTACAAACTGATGATTACCAAACAGGAGAAAGTGGGAAATGGGCCAAATGGCTGAAGGGGAGCGGGAGACACAGGCTTCCAGTTATGGAATGAATAAGTCACTGGGATAAAAGACTCAGCATAAGAATATGGTCAATTGGGATCCCTGGGTGGCGCAGTGGTTTGGCGCCTGCCTTTGGCCCAGGGCGCAATCCTGGAGACCCGGGATCGAATCCAACGTCGGGCTCCCGGTGCATGGAGCCTGCTTCTCCCTCTGCCTATGTCTCTGCGCCTCTCTCTCTCTCTCTCTCTGTGACTATCATAAATAAATAAAAAAAAAAATTTAAAAAAAAAAAAAAAGAATATGGTCAATTGGAATATGGTCAACTGGAATATTACACCAGTGTTGTACAGTGACAGACTGCAGCTACACTCGTGGTGAGCACAGCTTACCATATAAACTTGTGGAATTACTATGCTGTATACCTGAAACTAATATGACATTGTATGTCAACTATACTCAAATACTTTTCAAAAACACAGAAATATATATTGTAAGAGGCTTAAAAGTGAGAAAGTGCTGTATAAAAGCAGTAAGATATGCTGCCGTGTCTTTCATCATACATTTACTCACAACCTCATGTTGGACCCAAGGCACGTATAAATGAACGAATAAAACATGTCATGTTTTATTGTTTGCTGGGCATCTGATCAAGCTTATCTGACTCACATATTGAAGACTTTAAGGATGATGACTGGTGATAATACCTAAAATTTTACTAACGTCTTCTTTTCATAAAGTCCACATGGTTTCAAGTTATTTGTTACAAACAAAAATGTTGAATTTAAAAATAAACCAAAAAGTTAAATGAAGAACAAAGTAAAAATTTGACTTGCCAGTCAAGAGTTTTAAGTATTTTTCCTGACGTTGGAAGATAACCATCCTTTTTTCATCTCAGGCTCTCCTCATTTTTTAATTCCAGAAAAACATCATTTGACTTAAAAACGCATCTCACTATTCTAATAATAGTTCTACCTAGTTTCGGCTTCAGGATGAGCTGTCATATTCCTTTCTAATAAGACAGTAAAATAGTGTCTTACTGGGATTTTTCCTGAGAATATTCAAGCTAGACATCTATTAAACTTTCTTCTCTGATAAGCATAAAGCTACAAGACACCTGGTAAGGCTCAAATTTCTTAGACATTACTTAAAGAAAAAAATTCCTGGTCTTTTAAAATTAAGGATAAACTCATGTATCATTGCTATATTCCCTATACCTAGCATACTTCATTCAACAAATTTTTGTTGGAAAAAAAAAAAAAGAAAAACAAAGTAAAGTATTACGTATTGTTTTAATAAGAGTACCCACTCAAAAAAAAAAGAGTGCCCACTCATTATTGCCTGAGCACTGAACATCTAACAAAGGTGGCATGCAGGAGCTCCCCTCAAAGAGTAGAGTACAGTCCCATTATGACTGGTTATTTATAAAGAATTCTTACTAGGTCCTCTTAAAACGTATTCAATAATAGCCTCATGTAATAGAGCTCACAGCCCATTCCCTAGTACCAACATTATAAGGGAATTCAATGACTACACTAATAAAAATTGTATGCTTCTTTTTAAAACATCAAGTAACAACCTCAAATTCACTATATACCTAGTCTGAAGAACAGCAAAAATAGTACTAGTCATTTTCAGAGGAATATTTGTAATGTTAAAAAAAAAAACCCAAATTTCCTTTTTCAAATCACTCATTAGTGCCAGAATGGTCATTATTTGGAAGTATTCAACCTTGCCACAGTAAAAGAAAGTTATTTCACTAGTTCTGAACTCTTGACTCACTTCCTTCTTTCTTCTCTCCATCTTGCAATCTCCTCTGGAGTGTCTAACTTGATCTTCTTCATACCAGGAGCATGCATCTAGGGAGAAAAAGCCTGCTGAACATCAGGAAGCATATTGTACGTATTGTTTTTTTTTTAACTTTTTATTTTTTTAAGTAGACTCCATGCCCATATGGGGCTTGAACTCACAACCCTGAGATCAAGAGTCACATATTGTACTGACTGACTCACTCGGATGCACCCATATCGTATGTTTCTGATAAATTTCAAGTATCATGGGTGATGATGGAGACTCTGTACTCAACATTAAATTTACTAGCAGAGAAAATTTTAAAACTAAGTAAGCAGGTTTTACCCATCCATTATGACTTCTCCTTTAAAGGAAAAGGAGTAATTTCTTGAGTGTTTAGATTGGTGCAACTGATAAAGAGAAAAGGAGTAACATAACTTTGGTTACGAAGTAGGTATATGACCATTTCTCAACTGACATCAAATACACAAATGAATAATCTACCAACCAAAACTGATTGAGGTAGCTGAAGAAATAATGATACACAGAATGATTTGAAGCAGCACCATGCAATAAAACAAGCACAGAATTTGTGGTCAAGAAAATCAAGTACAATAATCAGTTCTAAGGCCCTGGTTAAGTCATTTTTTTAAAATCTATTAATTCTGACCAACAGTTACCTACTTCACATAGTGGTTCATGAAGATAAAATTGAATACAAAGTACAAGTAGTCATGAATGTTACTTATTATTAGGCTATATAAATGTAGAGCTGTGAGGATAACAAATCAATGAAATAAAAAGCATGAATTTTTTAGGAAAAAAAACAAAAATGCAACAAGAACTTACATTTCTCCAATGGAATTGGACAATCTTCTCATGTGCACTAAAAGAACAATCTACTTCAGGACACTGCAAGAATTTTTAAAAAAAGTCTATTCAATATATTCCATATTAAATTTATCCTACTACTACATATTCAAACATAATCTGGTTGAATTACATAGTTATCCCATCTACGTGCTGTTATCATCCCATACTTATGTCAACAGCAAAACAAAAAGCACTCCAAATCGGGAGTACTTTTAAGTACTTAATAAGGTACAAACCATCCTTCAAGAGTGATGGGCCATGGCAAATTACACAGTGTGATTAAATGGTCAAGGGTAGCCTTAAAGCAGAAAAACCACACAAAGGTGCATAGAGCACCTGGAGGTGAGGCCCAGGACTCTTACAAAGCAGAAGTGATATACACACAGCTGTCAGACCTCTCTTCTTTGCTGCCATCTAGCCTCTTCCTGAAGTAGTGGGCTCCCCACCCTCACACCCCAAATCCTAGGGTCACTGTCTCAATTTATCAAGTCATCAAACAACTTTTCTATGAAAACTATAAACTTTTAAGGAAAAAAAGTTCAGAATTTCTACCAAATATACCCATTTTGCTAAATAAATTTCAGGACAGGGGCAGCCCAGTGGCTCAAGCGGTTTAGCGCCGCCTTCAGCCCAGGGCGTGATCCTGGAGACCCGGGATCCAGTCCCACGTCAGGCTCCCTGCATGGAGCCTGCTTCTCCCTCTGTCCGTGTCTCTGACTCTATGTGTCTCTCATGAATAAATAAATAAAATCTTAAAAATAAATTAATTAATTAATTTCAGGACAACCAATAAAAACCTACTTTCATGTGTTCAGACATGTGTTTATCATACTTTTCTTGATTTTTAAAACCACGATCACAGGTATCACAAAAACAATGAAAAACTGGTTCCTTTCTTTTCTGCAAAGAAAAACAGAGAGGCATTAGGCTTTTAATAAAAAATTTTTAACCAATAACAAAAATATAACCATCCTTCCAGTAGTACATACTTTGATTTTTCATATAACCCCTGCATGTGGGAGAAACTTCTGAATACATTTCTAATGAAGGGATAATTCTGTTTACTTTATTTTTAGGAAATGTATTAAGAAAAGCCAAGCATGATAAAGAAATTTTAGAGCCACCGGGGTGGTTCAGTGGTTGGGCATCTGCCTTTGGCTCAGGTTGTGATCCCAGGGTCCAGGGATTGAGTGCTGCATCAGGTTCCCTGCGAGGAGCCTGCTTCTCCCTCTGCCTCTCTTTGTGTCTCTCATGAATACATAAAGTTTTTTAAAAAAAAATTTTTTTAAAGGTTTTTTTTTTTTTTAATTTTTATTTATTTATGATAGTCACAGAGAGAGAGAGAGGCAGAGACACAGGCAGAGGGAGAAGCAGGCTCCATGCACCAGAAGCCCGACGTGGGATTCGATCCTGGGTCTCCAGGATCGCGCCCTGGGCCAAAGGCAGGCGCCAAACCGCTGCGCCACCCAAGGATCCCTAAAAAAAAATTTTTTTTTAACAGAGTAGAACTAATACAATCTGTGAATAGATTTCAAATTGGTAATCTAATTAAGAGCACAGCATATGGGGATGCCTGGGTGGCTCAGTCAGTTAAGTGTCTGCCTTCAGCTCGGGTCATGATCCCGGGGTCCTGGAATCTAGCCCCACATCAGGCTTCCTGCTCCATGAGGAGCTGGCTTCTCCCTCTCCTTCTGCCTGCCACTCCCCCTGCTTGTGTGCTCTCTCAGTCTCTGTCAAATGAATAAATAAAATCTTTAAAAGAAAAAAAAAAAGAATCATTTAGTAAAGGTCAGTTATTTATTCCCAATTTGCTATTTTTATGCTTAAACATAAAACAAAAAAGATTACAACGATAGACTACATAGGAAAAGGTCTTCCATTGTTTAATGCTGGGATTATGTTAATACATTATACATGCACAATATTTTGTTAGTGTTAGTGACTCAGTTTTCATGCCAAAACGAAGGACATAATTTCAAGCTGCAGACTTTATTCAACTCATTCTAAATTAATGACATTTTTTTTTTTAGATTTTATTTTTAAGTAATCTCTACACCCAACGTGAGGCTCAAATTTACAATGCCAAGATCAAGAGTCACATGCTGTACCAACTGAGCCAGTCAGGCACCCTGACATTTATATACCTTAAAACAGACCAGATTTATCAGCTTCATCAGAATAAAGGAAGCTGGGGCACCCAGGTGGCTCAGTTCATAATATAGGGTCCTGGGATCAAGCCCTAAGTCAGGCTCCCTTCTCAGTAGGGAGTATACCTCTCTTTCTTCATCTGCCTCTATGTCCACTTATGCTCTGTCTCTCTCAGATAAAGATAAATAAAACCTTTTAAAAATACATTTAATTTTAATTGAATTTGAAACAAAAAAAAAGAAACTACTGCAAATGTTTTTTTAATCACAGAAATATTTGTTCCTCAAATATCCCTGTGTCAAAACAAAAAAGATTATAAAAAATAAAAGATTTGTGTCATTGTAATTTGTTAACTCCATGTTTTCAATTTTACAGGAGAAAAAGTCTGGATTTCCATCCTTCTCCCTAAATTCCACCCTTCTTCCCTCAATTCTCTAGTTACGTGTGTGTACGTATATATACTTTTTTTTTTTTTAGTTTACCAAGATTTAATAACAGTTACATTTACTCGTAATCATAATTCTCAATTTATTCAAGAAAATATACTTAAATGGACTGTTTTCTGTTTCTACAATTTCTCCATTTATTTCTCAAAAAGATTTTGCTTCAAGTTTTTACTTAAAGCTAAGATCCTTAAAGATCCCATTATAGTTAAGGCCTCACTGTGTCAATTATGGACGTAAAACACTGAGACAGTTATGATAGAAACACAAGGAATAAAACAGTGACTTAGGGACCCAAGTGTCACATTCAAGAATATCTTTAAAAATACCTTTTTTTTCTGTTTTCTACTGGGAGGGAGGTTGACATCAGTGAACTTTGCATCATATTTTCGTGGAAAATAAGAATGATTAACTAAAAAACAAAAAGAAACCTGTAAATATTTGCAATTATACAATTTTTAAATTTTATTTGTTCTAACATGTCACAAATACTTGAGTAAAAACTGCCATTTTTAAGAAGAAAAGTAGTTCAAACTAATAAAGATTAAGACTATAGTCTACCAAATAAGTATTTTTCAAGTAAATATGTTGTTACATATTTACATGTAACAATTTACACGTCCATACATGCTTTAGGTGTCAAAGTAAAGAAAGAAATGGCCACTCAAACCTGATAAAATTTGTTACAGTTATTTCAAACATTAGAAATGTAAATAATAAAATCCCGATACAGCACTTTCAGCATCAACTTTACAGCAGGAAAACAGAGTTGTGAAATACATTTTCTCTCACGTTCTTTCCTCTGCTATTGCCAAGACCCAACTCTGAAACCTTATCTCACCTAGATTACTAGCACAGGCTTCCAGACTGTCTTCTAGTTCACAAGCCCTCTCTTCCAACAGACTCTACACATTTTCACCACAAAAATAATCCTCCAATGGTCACAATCCTGGAAAATCTATAAATGGCTTCCCAGAGCCCTTTAATGAGATCCCAGTTTATTTTCTCATCCTACTCTTCCCCCATACCCTCCACTTACTTTGCTTCACTCACACAAGAACAGAGCAGTTCTCAGAACTCCCCTTGTATTCACACCTCTTTGCCCATACCTGAAAAGTATCTCTTCCTAAACCCTACACATCTCCCAACGCGCTTCTTCCAAAAGCCTTCCCCAAATTCCTCTACATGCCTCCATCACCAGTCATGCTGTGCTGTGACTTATATTTATGAACCCGTCTCACCGGACTCAGGACTGTCTTAGAACATTCATATTCCCGGCATTCGGCAAGCAGTAAACGCTGATTTGGATTCGAGTTGATGTAAATTAAAGCTCATGCAGAATTGGAGAAGGGTTTTAAGTGAACAATCTTGTGGCTTTAACTATGACCTATAAGCTGATTGGTTCCAGACACCAATCTCCCCTGAAAAGTACAACCTAACAGCCTCTTCGATATCTCCATTTGACACCAACATATTCCAAGCTCAACTCCAGGGTCTTCCTTCCAAATCTGTTCCATTCCCATCCTTCCGCTTGTTTGGGGGAAAAAAAAATTGTTATTCTTGTCTTGACCTCACACCTTACATCTGATCCTGGAGCAAACCGTGTTGGCCCTTCCCTCCCCTCCAAACAGATCTAGAATCCAACACTTTCATCCATCCCCCGAGCTCCACCCTGGTGGTCCGAGTCCCCAATATCTCTCACTTGGATAACTCCAATACCTTCCTAACTCCTCTCCCTTTAGGTCAATAACCATTAGCAGCAGCATTAATCCTTCTAAAATGTAAATCAAGTCACGTCACTCCCTTGCACCACCCCTATCACAAGAGCAAAAAGTCAAAGTCCCACCGTCTACAAGGCCCTAGCAGGTCGGCCCTCTTCCCCGATCTTCTACAGTTCTGTCCCCAGGCTTGTTCCTCTTGGCTTCGGTTCTGATCTACAGCTCCCGCCTCCAAGTCTTTGCACTTGCACTTCATTCTGCCTGCATCCCTATTCCCCCAGATGTCATCCACCAATGTATCCCTCACCTCCCTGTAGCCTTTGCTCCAAAGCTGACTCTTTACGACTGACACTTATTTTATTTATTCTTTAAAAAAAAAAAAAAAAAAAAAAAGACTGACACTTAAAACTGCACTCCCTATCATTCCTCTTTGGCTCTCTATCTCGCCATGGCCCTCACTGCCTTCTAATACACACTGCTTTATTCTGTCTTCCTCCGCCAGGAAACGTGAAGCTCCATAAAGGTAGGGATTTTTGTTATGTTTCGATCACTGCTATATCCCCAGTTCCTGGTACACAGCTGGAATTCGATAAATAACTCCTGAACAGGGGATCCCTGGGTGGCGCAGCGGTTTGGCGCCTGCCTTTGGCCCAGGGCGTGATCCTGGAGTCCCGGGATCGAGTCCCACGTCGGGCTCCCTGCATGGAGCCTGCTTCTCCCTCTGCCTGTGTCTCTGCCTCTCTGTGTCTCTCTCTGTGTGTGTGTGTGTGTCTCATGAATAAACAAAATCTTTAAAAAGAAAAAAATAAATAAATAACTCCTGAACCGGACTGAAGAGGCGGGGAAAACATTACCGTCCGACAAATTGTGAGACGTTGATGAGCAGACAGACTCCAGGACTGCAGGACAGAATCAGAAGTAGAGATGAGGAAAAAAGGGGAAAGTGGGAGAGGAAGGAAGGGGAGAAGAAGAGGAAAGTAAAGGAAAGTAAAGGGTGGTAAGGAGGGGGCGGGGGTAACAGCCTACCCGGAGTCTTCTGATGCCCCCGAAAAGCACCAGACGACTGTCTCCAGTACCAGGATGTCGAAGCCTGGAAGTTCCAGGACGGCTGGCCGTTGAGGGGAGGCTGAGCATCAAGGGGGTACTGGGCGTCGAAGGGAGGCTGCGCCCCGGGGAGAATCTGGGCGTCGAAGGGAGGAGGCGCCTCGGGGAGCGCCTGGGCCTCCCGGGAGGGCCGCCCCTCCGAGGAAGGCTCCGACCCTCCCAGAGAAGGCGACGACGAAGGCGGCGGTGGCGGCGGCAGCATTGCCCAGAGCATCCAGTTGTCCCGCAGCGAGGCAGGGTCGCTCAGAGGCCCCAGCGCCGGGGTCAGCTCGGACGACGGAAACCACCCCGCAGAAGCCACGGAATCGCCGGCCGGCTCAGCCATGCCTCCCGCCAGGCAGCGAGCCCAGCGTGCGAATGCGGAACGGGCTTTAGGCGTCACTTCCGCTTTTCGCGACTTGCGCGGCTCCGCCAACCACAGGCTGCTACGTCATCGGCAGGCGCCGGAAAAGGGCGTGCGCAAAGTGCGGCGCGAGGAGCCGGGGCTGCCTCTTGGCGGACGGGAGTCTGTGTGGTTAGAGGCGTAGGGCCGGACGGGTGTCCGCCCCCGCGGATGGCGAGGGATCTGATCGGGCCGGCGCTGCCGCCCGGCTTCAAGGCTCGGGGGACAGCGGAGGAGGAGGAGGAGGAGCGAGCCCGCAGCCCCGGTGAGCGGCGGCGCCTGACGCTGCCCGCCTGCCCGCCCCTTCCCGGGCCCGCCGTGAAGAGACGTCCGAGGCCTTAAAGGGCGGAGCAGGGGCAAGTGGGCGCGGCCGACCGCAGCTAACCTGGCTTCTCCAGCGGTAGCGGGAGGTGGAGGGGTGGGGGGGAGGAGGCGGGGGGGGGGGGGCGGGGAGATGCTGGGAATCGTTACGACGGTGAGGTCTTACTTAGCTCCTGATGGGCTGGAGCCTCTGCTGACGATCGGTACACACTGTCGCTTCATCCTCCTAGCGACTGCGTAAGGTGGTTATTATATGTGTAAGGTGATATCGTTAGGAAGTAAGATTGTTCTTATTTCCATGCCGCACACGGGGACCCCGAGGCCCGACCGCCCGGGCTCCTAACCTCCGTGCCCTTTTGCCTTCCGGGGTCCTTGCAGAAGATGCTCTGCAGAAGATGCTCCGACCCGCTCTCCTAGCCCGTCTTCCTGTCGTTGAATCCGACACGCACAGTCCAGTGCTGAAACCAGGCCCGAGTTTCTCTAGGCTCTTTCCGGCCTCGCTCCGCTTCTTGACACTCTCAGCCAAACTCCTACCCCGATCTCCAAGGCCCAGCGTGAATGTCAGCGAAGGCCTCAGGGAAGCTTTTCCAAACTCTCCCAAGAATTGACACGCCTTCCTTTTTTTTTTTCTCCCCTCCCCACAGGGTTTTCTTCTACTTATTTTTTTTTTAAGATTTTATTTATTTATGTGTCATGAGAGACAGAGATGGAGAGAGAGATGCAGACACACAGGCAGAGGGAGAAGAAGGCCCCATGCAGGGAGCCCGACGTGGGAGTCCATCCCGGGTCCCCAGGATCACGCCCTGGGTGAAAGGCAGGTGCTAAACCGCTGAGCCACCCGGGGATTCCCCTTAATACACTTTTAAAAAATGACTCGTGTCATATCTTCCTGCACCGTTTACAGTAGGATCCTCTCGCTGTAACACACAGAGTGGGCACTTCCTATATGCCAAATAAACGCTTCCTATCTATCTCCTTTAATGTTTGTTCTAATTTGCAGACTGGTTTTGACACCAAAGTTGGAAAAGAGTAAAGCCGAAAGAGTAACCCTCCCGTTTCGTTTCTTTTATTTTGTTTTTTTAAAGATTTTATTTATTCATGAGAGACACGGAGGGAGAACTCTCCATGTCCATGCAGGGAACCGTATGCAGAACTCAATCCCAGGACCCCGGGATCATGCCCTGAGCCAAAGGCAGATGCTCAACCTCTGAGCCACCCAGGCATCCCTACCCTCTTATTTCTTAATTTATTTTCATCCTTTGACTCCCTGGGGGGGGGGGGGCATGTTTCCACCTAGAGCTTTTTTTTTTTCCCCCCCCAGATCTCCTTTCTGTCATAAGGGCTATAAACTCATGTTTTTTACTTTTTGCAAGGAAGGATCCGTTTAACTCAAGTTGAAGAAAAGTGGGGTTAACCAGGTTTTTTTGGTTGGGTTTCTACATGCATGTTGTTTTGGATTCACCGTATTTCCTGATTTTAAACCAAGGCAGGATTTGCAGGTAAATAACCACTATCTCCCAAATAGGTACTTCTATTTGATTCACTTCCATCATTCTACAGCATTTATTTCAGGTACTCCTTTCTCTGTCCATTCTTGTTGCTTTTGTGCATTCCTTCTCTTCTCACCCCCCATGCTCAACACTTAACACTGTGTGTATGTACCCTCCACTATCTTTTTGGTTTTTTTAAGATTTTATTTATTTGAGAGAGAGAGAGAATGAGTGCTGGTGTGCGTGCAGGCAGGGGGAGGGGCAGAGAGAGAAGCAGGCTCTTCACTGAGCAGGGAGCCCAAGGAGAGGCTCAATCCCAAAACCCTGAGATCATGACGCAAGCTGAAGGCAGCTCCGTAGCCAGCTGAGCTACTCAGGTGCCCCCCTCCCCCAATCCTGACCAAGTTTTACCCCCGCCTGGCACATAAAAGATCCTTGGTACATATTTGTTGGCTTCACTTCTTCACCAAGCACAAATTCTTGCACACAGCCTGTCATTTTTAACACAAAATATGCCCCCTGCTGTAATTCCATTCCCTTCATAACCTCCTGGAATTCTGATCCTAGAACTGTTGCCCAAAAAATGTTTGAGATTTTTTTTTTTCTCATTATGCTTCTGTCTGGTTTCTTAAGTTTATGAGTACCACTATCCTTGAAATGCACTCTGTGACATCCTAGACGTTCCCTTTGTGCTATTCTCCAGTCACTACCTGCTTCCCCATCCCTTTTTCCACCAGAGGGTAATTACTGTCTTGACTTATGTTTAGTTTTGTGTGCTTTAAGTAAATGGAAAAATACAAAGATGAACTCTTTTGCAACTGGCTTCATATTTTGGCATAACGTTATTTTGTGAAATCCATCATGTTGATGAATTATTGTGGCGGTTATTACAGATCGTTTATTGTCAGAGCTACCTAGCAGTGTATTAGGGGGATTTTCTGCCATTTCCTTACCTAGTTTACTCTCATGGACATTTGAGTAGTTTCCCCTTTTTGGCAGTTAATAAAGTGCTGTTATGCATTACAGTACACGTCTTTCAGTGAACACATGGTGCGTCCCATTTGAAATTTTTGGATCATTGGATATGCATATATTCTGTTTTAGTGGACACTGTCAGTTTCCAAAGGAGTACCAGTTTGCACTCATTCCATGTTCTCACTTAGTTGTTTCTGTCTTTTTAATCTGATGGTTTGCAGCAGTATCTCCTGGTAGTTTTAATTTGCAGTTCTCTGATAACAAATGAAGTTGACTACCTTTTTCAGATGTTTTTTGGGAAATGTGGATGTGTGTCAGTCTTTGTTCGTTTTTCCACTGATTTGTCTGTCTTTCCTTACTGACCTGTTGGGTTTGTTATATATTCTTATCGGGTCTTCAGTCATGCTTGTTGCAAATATCTACTCTAATTCTGTGGTTTACCTTTTCACTTTCTCATTAATAGGTTTTGATGAACAGCAGTTCTTAATTTTAGCACATTTTGATTTTTAGTTTGTTTTCTTTTATAGTTAGAGCCTTTTGTACCCTATTTATTTATCTGCAAGAGAGTAGATGAAGTGATGGCTCGTAGCTCCTTTAAGGCTACAGAGTTGTTCTTCATTCTATACTACCAATGTTACTGTTTTAGCTTTCACATATTTGCAGTCCATCTGGAATGGGTAGTTGTGTGTGGTGTGAGGTAGGGGTGAAGATTTATTTTTTTCCTCACAGATATCCAATTGATCCATCACCCTCCCTTCTCCACTGTACTATAATGTCACCTTTATAAATCATGTGACCATGTATGTGCATCTAGTTTTTTTCCTTTTCATTCTGATAAAATATACATAACATTTGCCATGCTAACCATTTTTAAGTGTATCGTTCATTATTAAGTACATTCACTCTGTGCAACCATCACCACTATCCATTTCCAAAACATTTTTCCTCTTGTAAAACTGAAGCTCTGTACCCATTAAATAGTGAGTCCCTGTTCCCACTTCCTCCAGCCTCTCGCAACCACCATTCTACTTTCTGTCTCGTGAATTTAACAACTCTAGGTCTTTCATGTAAGTGGAATCATACAGTATCTATCTTTTTGTGACTGGCTTCTTTCACTTACCGTAATGTCTTCAGGGTTCATCAATGTTGTAGCACGTGCCAAAATTTCCCTCAGTTGGGGATTCTTAAGCCCAGCCAGATATCTGCCCGTGTTCCGCATACTCAGCTACCTCTCTGAAAGAGATCACTGACAGAGTTCAGAGGAGGGAATGAGCACACAGATCTGAGATGGAACAAATTAACTTTATTCAAATAGTCTAGAATATTGAATGCTGAGGAATGTCCCCTCAGATCATGGGGGAGATGTTTTCTCAAGACAGTCCCTATACTCACTCCTACAGCTGCTTTGTGGAAGCTAAGTGGAGCCTTAACTATTCTGACTCCCAACTCCAGATTCCTCATGTGCAATGACCTTCACCTCCACTAATTTCAGCTGTATTTGGAATCACACACTGGACTCTTCCATCTCTGAAAACTTAAGTTCAAATTTCATTCAGAGCAGGAACCTGTTATTCAGCCATCATTCTCGCTCAGTTATTCCCTTTATACTTGTTTTTTTATTTTTGTTCTTTAACGTCATTGGGCTATGCAGTCTCTGCCCTCTGTGTTGGTCTCCTCCTTTTAATCACTTCTGCCCCTGCGTGACTTAGACTTCATGAGCCATCACTTCATCCACTCTCTTGCAGTATTTTCAACTGCTTTACCCATTAGGTATCTGTTAAACCTATCCGGCAAAACCCCAGCTCTGGATGAATCCAAATGTTGGCCTCTTGTGAGCCTACGGCTAGCCTTCCAAAGCTGCTGGAAAAAACCTCAGACCTCCACAGGCTAATGTTATTAAAAATTATAATCTTCTCCCTAAGTGAGTTCTCCGCTCTGCCCAGCAATCCTCAAAGGCTTCTCACATGCAGCTCCCTTCCCCCGTAGTCAACCATGTTTTCTTAAAAGCGTCTTTCTCTTTCTTAGGCTATCTCTCCCTCTACTCTGCTGAGCGGATAAATGCCATCTTAAAAGAACTTCCTCGATTTTCTGTCACTATGCCTAAAACTTTCATGAATCTTTTTTGTCTTCCCTTTGATTACTGTAGAAAAGATACACTGCCTTCCTTTAAGGTTAATCCTTCATTTTTACTCTGAATTCCTTTGCTTATTTATTCTCAGGGCTCCTAGCCCATAGCATGTGACCAAAGCATTCCAATCTTTCCCGTCTTTATGAAAACTCTACTTCACATCCCCCTGTAGCTAGTGTTCTCTCTCTGGATCCTCTCCATTTTCTCCTTACCTTTTGTGTTGTAGCCTTTTAACCTACTGCATTCTGGCTCCTGTTCTTGGCAGTCCACTGAGAATGTTGTCACCAATTCCACTGTGATAATAAATGAAGACCACCCAACAATTGCTTTTTAGCACATTTTGCTAAGTCC